ACACACACACACACACACACACACACACACACACACACACACACACACAAACACAAACAGTATGGAGCTAACAGATTGAAGAGAGCCTGAAGGCAGAGAGATAGATGAGCGGATTGGGAGAGAAGGAGCAATGGCAGAGATAGATAAGGAAAGATGGATGAATGGGGGCTAATATATTATCTTACAGCGGGATGAAGTGACATACAGTGATGCTGAAATGGACTGGTGATGGATAGATGGGGAGATAGAGGTGAAGAGGGATGAGTGTAAGTGTGACTGCGATTTGTTCATCTTTTTCCTGCCGTCTATCATCTTGAAGCCACTACTTTTCATTTTCTCTTCCTCACTCTGTCCTCTTGATATGTTTAAGCTGAAATCACCAGTGAGACTTCCTTGGTTTTTAACCCGTACGAGTCTCTGTGGTCGGGCAGAATTCTAGCGGTAGGAAACCTTATTCCCACACAGGAAGTGAAGGCTTTCTAGTATTAGGTATGAAAACGGCCTCCAAGCAAGAAATAAGCTTACATGCTTAAACTTATCAGTGACTGGGAAAACTCACATATGAGGACATTTGTAATTACTAGTTTCTCTCGCAGCCAAGAGGAACTACAAAAGCACCAAAGCACATCAGTTCACCTGCCGGTCGGACTCCGAAAGCACAAAATCGATTGTGTTTTTGTAACTACTCTCACTGCCTGAAGGGTAGAGATTTGAGTTTATTTAGAGAGCAAATTAAACCTTTCTGCTAGCTAGTAGAGAGCTGGCTAGCGATTTAGCCATCGCCAAATCTGTGGTTTTTGATTTAATTGATTATTATTATTTTTGAATACCCCATGGTTAAACATGCATAGCGGACCTGTGTCTACCCCTTTTGGCAGTAATCACAAAAAAAATAAATATTAAAACTTAATAACAGGTTATTTTTAAGCTTACAAAGTAAGTGAGAAAAGTAATCGCACTTCCGCTCTAAAACGGAAATAAGATTACAAAATGACGCAATTCGGAAGTGCCCTCGTTCAGGCAAAGAATAAATTGAAGAGTTTAAGCACAAATCAGTGCTACAAAAAACATCGTATAGCTGAGAACAAAATAATTGTGGCAAGACTTTCAGTGCAGTGTTATGGCATAAAGTCAGAGCGGTGTGCAGAGCCCATGGTGGTGATGCCACAAGATTGGACTTGTCGCGCTCTCCATAGAAAAACAATGGCTCACAAAGCGTATTATTGATGCCGCTCGCTCTCATATGTGTTGATATAAGGCTACAAACAGCAGCCGGTTAGCTTAGCTTAGCACAAACACCGGAAACAGCTAGCCTGGCTTTGCCGCCATCTACATACCAGCACCTGTAAAGATCAATAATTAATATGTTTGCTCTAGTTATTATTCCTTTAAGGCTCCATGGTGCATCTTTGACTGCAACGTGAACCCAAAAATAAGAGTAAAGTGAGGGGTGAAAGTACAAGTTTCCCTCTCCTGCCCACTTCATCTCTCCAATTATGTCGTGTTTCCTTCCTTTTACACATTTTTGTCCTGATCCAACTCTCCTGTTTCAGTTTCTCTCTCTCTCTCTCTCTCTCTCTCTCTCTCTCT